CCTGTTCTAGACTAGCCTGCGAAAGCATCCGTTCCTCCTCGCGAGACGTCCCCCGGAGCGAAGAGGGAAGGAGAAGTGGATGCTTTCGCAGGCTAGTCTAGAACAGGATGGAACAGACTGGAAAGAAGATAACTAAAGTACTGATCTTTCTTACGTATATTTACCTCAACTATATCTAACCCCGCCTCAACCGAAAAAAAGGAAAATTGAAAAAACAAAAACAAAAAAGAACTTGACCCGACCCCTCCATATAAAAAATGAAAAATGCAACATGAAACTTGACAGACGTTGGCTAAAAAAAGGGCAACAAAGTACAGAATTCAATGGAGATTTTTGTAATAATAACAATGATGATTGGCACAGTAGTTTATTATTTCTGAGGCTTAGTGGAACCTAACTTCCGGTTTAGTCAAAAATACTCCACGTTGTCTTGGAGACATGTCGATATTACGTCAAACATCACCTGTGAAGCAGGTCACTTGTATTGTTTGAAAGGTAGAAAGACTTTCGTGGCATTTCCTAACAGGAAGTTCTCAGGAAGAAGACGAAATTCAGTAATAAAAGAGAGATGTCTGTCTGCAAAAAGCATGCAACAGACAAAACGCAACATCATAGCTTATTAATTGTTTACGACAGAATATCTATTAAGTCATCGACTCCACTTTCATTTGTAACTTTTGCGCTTCGGAGATGTTTCGCGATACGACACTGTTCAAGATGGAAAGTTAATCCTTCGCGCCAGTTGTGATGGGCAAAATGAAAGCTTGTTTCCGGTATATGGAGATTGTAATGATCAGTGGAAAACAAGGCGGGATTCATGAATCAACCAGTGACAATGAACTATCCTTCTTAAACAGGAGGATATTTGATTCACTCAAAAAGTTTTAAAATTTTAAGTGTTTTCTTTTCTGTTCTTACTTAGGAAAGGGAGATCGAGATGCATGTCCCAAATTAGCCCAACATATTAAGAGCTGTCATTCAGATCTCATTGGATAATAATTTTCTCCTTCTTGAATTTCCCTCTAATTTACCCGCTAAACCAATTTCACTTTTGACTACAGTGGCCTGCGTGGCCTTTCAAAGTTTAGATAAATTTTCACTTATTCACCAATCAATATACAAATAAACTAAGAGCGGTGCCAATTTGTAAAAGTGCTTTGTAACTCAGTTAATTAATTACATGCTTAACCAGCCTAATCTTAAATGCAAACATACTGCCTGCTATGAAAGGACCAAAGTACCGAGAATTGAAAATTCTCTTTTTTGAAGCAAAACGTTTGTTCGGATCGCAGTTAAAAATAATACAGTTGTCCACTATAAGGTGTTGCGAAGGGCTCTCTGATAATATATTTGCCCGCTCGTGGACTCCCGACTAATTAAGGCGGGAATATTTCAACTAAGATCTGTGCTTCTGCGAATCACTTCACGACAAAAATGAAATTGCAAATAATCAAATTAGAAGAGAACATGACAAAATGAGTGGCATGTGTGGACCAAGGAAATAAACTGCCGAATGAGGCAGGCGTTTATTCAATAGGGGTGTTACCGTACATGCAATGTACATACAGAACTGTAAATAAAATCTGTATCAGGCTCACCTACCAATTGCCACTGGAGGATGTTTTCCTTGACTTTAAGTTAGAGGCGTTTACTTGCTAAACCACGTGGTCGGCCCTAAGATATTTTTTGAGAAAGGTGCATTCGCTCGAGGAAATAAGAAATCGCAGAGATCATAACGCGAGGGCCGAAATGATCTCAACGCCGAGCGCTAGCCATAGCTCGGCGACAGAATGTTTTGAGCAACATCAAAATGAATATCTACATCATTTCCTGTACTGTTGTTCGCGTGACTCCCGGGGGACCCACTGTCTTTGAAAGCCAATGAAATGAGGGTAAATCCAACTCATGCCTTTCTTGTAAATTTTCGCTTTTGTGGTTTGAATTTAACTCTGCAATGGAGAAGGCAGTTTTATCGATGTGGTGTTGCTGTAATGTACGACCGGAGTTGGTACATAAACAAAATCTTTTACCTTTCGAGAATATGAAACACGCAGACTATGATCGAACTGACACAACTGGATGATCAACGACGGAGCCCCGGGGGGAGAGAAGCATGATGACCTATTATTATTTTATTTTTTCTGAATGATCTTTGATCTATATGAGCAGGAGCCTATTTGGGCAAGTACCGCCGGTGATAGGGGTTCAGTCCCCGTGACTTTGTGCTCCTACATGTGTTGATATCCTTCAACAGGGTTCCTTATTAAGTCAGTATTTGTCAAATGACAGGTCGCTCCATGTAATGGAATCCGTATTCCGGAATCCGTGAAATTTTTGTTTGTGGAATCCGGAATCCTGGGCTATGGAAACTGGAATACATCTCAAGGAATCAGGGATCCTACTGAGGATTGGAATCCAGAATCCAAGTTCCACTGACAAAGACTGGAATCAAGAACCTGAAATCCGAAATCCAGAACCCAAGACTGTCTTGGCATGCCCTTACATGGGGCTTGACAGGAAGGCAGGGTCAAGGTTCTCTTAGAAGCAATGCTTAAAACGGAACTACCCGCAAAAAATAAAACTTTTATTCAAAGCCTGCACAGACGATTCAAGATTATCGACTGTACTTTTTAAACCCTTTAAACATTGATATCAAAATTGGGATTCTCATTTACTGTCGTTATACTTTTTCAATAGAAGTAGTGGGGAGAATTTGTTGAAATATCAATTAGATTCATCTTCCCTGCTTCATGTACTCAATTCTCATGACCACTCTGTTTTCTAAAGCGTTGATATTAGAAGGAGAAATTTCATGCTGATCACTCTTAGGAGTTAAAGGGTTAAATAGGAAGTCAGTAATTGTTTGGTTTTGCACCTTGGAAAGGGTATCGACTGACAATTTTTTTCTTAAAAAGGTCAGAGTTAAAAACCCTTCCTGAGGGGGACACGGACGGTATTGGGGTATTGAGCTTTTTTTCAAACGGTATTTCGGTAATTTTGATTTTAACGTGCGGTACTGCGGTATCATTTAGCCCTGCAGGCGGTTTTTCATCCTTTTGCCCTCCGTGTTTGGTAAAAGAGGATCCTTCACAGTATTGCGAAACTGTTCATTGCGTTCTCCGGTCTAATGCACGTCAGTATTTTTAAAACTTGACTAATGGTAAATAAATACACAATTTCTGACAGTTAATCTATGACGAAATTGGTAGGGCATCCTTTTCGATCGTTGTACCGATCAATTCGAGGTCTTCTCACGTTTCCTCGCAATGGCTGAGATTGATTTTTGGTGTATACATGCTTGAGATAAACAAACACTCGAGATGGATACAACTTAAATAAGCGTTCCGATCTTGTGATCGGAAGTGCGGTATCGGTATTTCGTCGATTTTGGACACGGTATTTCGGTATTTGCCAATTCTGCCAATTTCTCTTACGGTATTGCGGTATTAGATACCCCCCAATGTCCCCATCCTTCTTGACAAAAACCATTCCTAAACTAATAGGATCACATCACGGCCTTTATTAACCTCGGATTTACAGTGTGGCTCTTGGAGCTAATATCCACGAGATAGTAGAAAACAAAGAATAAATTATAGTAAAAATAATCCTAAAAGAAAAGAAATAAAAAATAGAAGAAAACAAAACCGGTAAGAGGAAATACAGAAAAAAAAATTCATGAAAAAATAGAATTTAACAACCTATTACTTGTAATAATATATTTGTTTAAACGAAATTTTTCGCACTCTGAATTTGGACTCCCTAAGTAATGCCGTAGACCTCACGCCCGCAGGGAGTCCACTTCACGCTCCGGCATTTGTGTGCCATGACGAGCCATAATTAAAACAACTGAGGGCTACTAAAAAAACAAAGTTTGCCTCCTATATTCAGTTTACACTCTTCTCGTCTTCATAAATTCCCTTCCAGCAAAAGGCTTCCACTAACAGGAAACTTCACAAACAAGTTTTTTCTACAGGAGATAAAAGTCTCAAAACTTTTTTATAATCTATGCACGGTCCACTGCAATTTACTACCTTATTTAGACACCTTTAACCCTACTGGCTTGTTCTACAATCGGTCCTCAAGGGAGGATAATCAATAGACAACCATAACAACCACTATTTGTAACTACTGGTACTCTGTTGTCTTACGATACAATTGACGTCACCAAAAAATTCGTTAGAACTGAAAATTACAATACTTCCATTGTTTTGAAAAAAACTCTGGTTAAACTTAAAAATTTAAGAATACATTTGGCCAAATGAAATGAAACACAGCTGAAAAACACGCCATTTACGATTGGTAACTGGTCAACGCCTGTCTTTTCGCATTTTAGCTGCTGCCCAGTGCACTGATACATAGGGAGCTTGTAAACGGTAAAGATGGTCTTCAAATTTATTGGTGTACCTACGTCTTAATTGTGTATACACTGTATATGTCATTGCCATGATCTGCATTTTCAATGAATAACGTCACAACAGTGCATCGTCAAATCAAAACTCTTCTTGTGTTGAATTTGGTTTTGAGATCATCCACCACATCCACCGCATCCACCACAACCTCCACATCCACCACAACCGCCACATCCTCCACAGCCACCCCAACCATCACAGCCTCCGCATCCACTACAACCACCAAAAACACAAAGCCATCACAACCCCCACAGCCACTGCAGCCTCCACAACCACCACAGCCACCACATCCACCACAACCACAACAGCCACCACAGACACCACAACCACCACAGCCTCCACAACCTCCACATCCACCACAACCACAACCACCACAGCCACTACAGCCTCCACAACCACCACATCCACTACAACCACAACAGCCACCACAGCCACCACAACCTCCACAGCCTCCACATCCACCACAGCCACCACAACCTCCGCATCCACTACAACCAGCAAAGCCACAAAGCCATCACAACCCCCACAGCCACCACAGCCGCAACCACCACAGCCACTACAGCCTCCACAACCACCACAGCCACCACAGCCTCCACATCCACCACAACCACAACAGCCACCACAGACACCACAACCACCACAGCCTCCACAACCTCCACATCCACCACAACCACCACAGCCACTACAACCTCCACAGCCTCCACATCCACCACAACCACCACAACCTCCGCATCCACTACAACCACCGAAGCCACATGCAAAGCCATCACAACCACCACAGCCACAACAGCCGCTACAGCTACCACAGAAAAAAAAAGGGACTGACTTAATACCTCTTCGAACAACCAACTCTGAATCATTACTACTTTTGTCGAATAATACTCAAACCGATCGCCTAAGAGAGTCTAACTGTATTCAAGCTGGAGGAAGTACTTTGAGGATTTATTAAGGCTTTATGGTTCTGGCTTTCAGTCAAACCTCCTACCCTATTTGAGACTTTTCAAACTTCCTAATTCGACAGGCATTCCCGGGCGATACCCAGTTATTTAAAGCCTGATTCCAGAGTAGCTTTTGTGTCCCTGCTAATATATCTTATACATGGTTGGAGTTACCAAGAAACTTGGAATTTCGCCCTAGATCAATCACCACATCCGCCACTGCGTCCGCCACAACCTCCACATCCACCGCACCCACCGCATCCACCACAGCCGCCACAGCCACCACAGCCACCACAACCACCACCACCACAGCCACCACAAGCGCCACCTCCAACAGTGAACTTGATGTACGAGTTTGTTGGTACATAGTTGGCATGATAACCAGCAGCCACTACAAGCAACAGGTCTTCGTTCTGAATTCTGCGTGGTTTCTCGATGTGAGCATTTTCACCGACTGAAGGTGCAGTATAGCAGCCATTGTTCCCTTCTGGGGAGTAATAAGGTTGGCAGAGAAGGTGAAGAATGGCAATTGAAAACCCAAGTGCAATTGCCTCGGGAACATCTTGCACCTCTACTGGAAATGAGATTGCACCGGTTTTTAGGTCAACATTAATCTTCTTCCTCTTTCCTAGAAGATATATGGAAAACTGGTTTCCGCATTTCTCAACTCGTTTCCACTCCTGCTTTTCAGTCTGGGAGAAGAACTTGACCGACAGACTTCCAGGCTGGCCTTTTGTTCCTGGCTTTCCCCTTATACCGGGTATTCCCTTGATAGCTGGTGTCTCGCTAGTACCTGGTGTTCCTTTCGTTCCACTGACACCAGGTACACCAGGAACGCCTTTGACAACACCCTGCCATTTACCGATGCAAATACCCCAGTCCTTGCTTCCTGACTAGTCATAACGAGAAAGAGGAAGGACGTGCAGGTTTCACGTCGTAAACAGACCGAAAAACTGGACTGGTGCGAACCCTTCTTGCAAAAGGGCCTAATCATACGCCACACTAACAACTCTTTGGGCATTATTGATAACCTGAACACACGAGAGCTGCAGCACTGCGGAGTGTATTACTCGACATACAAACGCTGGTCGTCCTCGGGAATCGAACAGCAAATGGACTGACATTTCGCATGGTGCCGTCGCCGATTGAACTAAAGAGACCGGTGAAAGGATTAACGTCGGGGACCGTAAAATTCGAGCGGGATTTTCCACATTGCTGAATATCTTTTGTGGTCTCACTGCGAAGTAGTAACCGTCCTGTTTGGGTGGATGAGCTACGGTGGTAAATCGAACGCACTGATTATGATCAGCCAATTGCAACTCATGGGTGACTGGTTGAAGAGTTCCACAGCTCCTTAAAGGAACGCTATCAAGGTACTCCAAAAAGGAGTACTTACCGCCGGCTTGGTAAGGGAACGATTGAGACAGTTTTCGGTAAATCCACACCTATTCAGAAGGGATTAAAAAGGTTGGCATTAATAATCAGTGTAGTATGTATAACATAACATTGTTTTAGGTATTAAAAAAGTAAGAATTATCATCGTCCTCATTGTCATTACTCAGAGGGATAGGAGCTTAACTAAGATATTTCAGTTTACTCTGGAAAGACACTTAACTAACAATTCTGTTGCAGTCTGAGCGCCATTTTTTCAAGCGTGGAAAGTTTTCTAGGAGCGATATCATACGACGTTGAATTGTTTATGAAAACTCATACTCCTTTTATTAGAGGCGATTTTTCTCGTGAAGCGGGTTTATAATCTCGTCGCGCGTGCATCACGTGAACCGCGCGTGGTCTTAGCCAGATGCAAAATTCGATGCGCCATAAATAAATCTTTCTTTCTTTGAATATATGCTTGGTGTCCGCCAGTGACGTCATGTAGCGTTACGTCATGGAGCATTTCGCGTTTCCAGGCAACATAAACTTTGCCGCTGATGACTAGACTACGAGCAGTCTCTCTTTTTTCTTGGTCCGTTGAGCAAAACGCTTGTGACACGCAAATGACCACGCGCGTGACTGAAGGCGCGAGACGGGAAATTTCTTCTCGGGCTTTCGCCCTCGTTTCTCGCGTCTTGCGGCTTCGCCGCTTCACGCACGCAGAAGGCAACGAGACAGGGGCACCCAACGACGGTTTCCTCAAACACTGTACGTTGAAAACACTTTTTTAGCTATTCGGCCCGGGGTATCCAATCGATGGAATCGATAATCGATGACAATCGATATCAATCGATACCAATCGATATCAGTTAATCGATTGATATTGATAATCGATGACCAATCGATGGCGAAGATTCGTGTGGTTATCGATTGGTATCGATCATCAATACCAATCGATAGATAAATTGGTATCGATTGGTATCGATTGAGGAGCAAATACAATAATGTTATGAACAGTACACCGAAATAACAATGCATGTGTTTTGAATAATTTCATATTTGCTTGCCCGGATTGTTTGTTACAGTTTTAATAAAAAAAAATCACTAACACTGAAACATCTGCATGTAGTGGCCAAAGAGGATCCACGAACTCGGACTCGGACTGTAGATGACCGAGTTGTCCACGATGGTTCACAACTTTAAACGCGTTTCCGCGTTCTCCCCTCTTCTTGGTTGCAGTGAACACTTCACCGACGTTCACCTCAAAACGGCAAAGATGAGAGCCTTTGACGATGCACCTTATATTCAGTAAAGCCTCTGCCCGGAAGTCTTGCGTAGACATTATGACACGGAAAGGCAATGACGGGCAAGTGGGTAATTCGATTACGCGTGCAACAGGGTATATTCTTTGCGCTGAGAAGTCTGGGTTGGAATTGTTTTACCAATTTCGTCCCCAGGGCTTCCTAAAAATGGCGGATGATCGGACAGGTAGCGTGCGTGACATCTGTCTCGACGTCCTGTGCCAATCGATGCCAATCGATGAACGATTTTTGTGTGGTTATCGATTGATCATCGATTGACCAATACCAATCGATACTAATTAACTAATTTTATCAATTGATATCGATTGATCGATTGGTTTTCCGATCATCGATTTCCATCGATTGGATACGGCCTTTGTGTTCAAAGAGATAAGTATACAAAGACTGAAAAAGGCTAAGATGAGAATGGTTTCTCCAAAATATCCAAGAAACTCCTTCAGAGTTTGGGCTACCTGTGGATGGGGCAACATTTCATGACAGGATGGACTAGAATGGGGCTGCATTTTCAACACCTTCAATGTGACTGGAAATTAAAAAGGTTCACACAGCAGATTCAGGAATACAAAATGACAAACTTGGAATCACATAGTTTTACATTTGCCAAAAGTAACTAACATTGGGCCTTTTGGTCATAGAAAAGAATATAAAAGGATCTGGGTTAGTGCAAAAAAAAGTCTGTCCTAAACGGTGTGCATGATTTGTGCGAGTCTGTTCTGATTATAAACAGGGTGTTTCATGCATGATCGATTTCGTCTTAGTGCAAATGTTTGCAGATATTTAGTACGTCATCACCCAAAGCATTTACTGGAATAAATATAAATGCTATTGTTCTTGGCACCCTTGTCTAGCTAAGATAAGTACAAGTTGACAGGTGTGCTTGATAACCTTGTCCCCGTCTGAGGGAGTTGTCCTATCAGGGTACTAAAGTTGAGGGTGTTATCCTAAACAGGGTATGGGTTTCAAACCCTCAGCGGCTCACCTATACCCAAATATTGGTCGAGTACCGCCCACCCCCCTCCCCGGGCTGCTATCCTATAAGCAAGCTTCGAATTAACTGAGCCATAATTACACAATGGATGACTGTATTTGTACCCTCTTTGTAAACGTGACAATCATTTTTATCTTGGGAAGTTCAGTGACAATAATCCAGATGGCCAAAACTTACATATTTTGGCCATTCTTATCCTGAAGTATCCACCTTATTCTGAGCTATCCAAACAGATACTTTGCTATGCATAAGCTTTACACGACAGTCGTGGTACTGTAATTAAACAGACATTGGAACGAGGAACGTGATTTAAGAATGTTTTTCTTGCACTTTTTGTTGATTGGAGATACATCCGAAACTAGGTATAAAACCTCATTGGTAAGAGTAGAATCGGTTTTTCAGTCTTTGTCAGGAGCCCATCAAATGGGCTCCTGTCTTTGTATACTTACCTCTTTGAACACAGCAAGGTCGTAAAGAGTCGGAGCGATTTGCCGAAAAATAATTTTATTCGGTTCCAGTCTCCGAGCGGATACCTAATTCTAGTCACGACTAATCCTGGCAGTTTGCGGTCATATCGAAGCGTAAAGGTCAACAGTGTTTGTTCATGAGCGAACGATTATTGTGCAGTTGCGATGCGTTTTGTGGAGCAAGCGAGCAGAAACCGGAGCACACGTTACCTGAAGACTAGCTGATGGCAATTTGGAGCGGATTCTTCGATTATTCTCGAATTTATAGCGCTTCGCGTGAAGGCACGCGGAGATAACCCGTTTGTTTTGTAGCCAGCCTTTAATTCTTCTTTAGTGGATAGTACCTACGATTGCAAAACTCAACAAACTGCCACTTTAACCGGCCAGGAAGAAGAAGGAGACGTAAAGGTATCTTAGCTTTGTTTTGTTATATTTTGACTTTTGGACTATTTCAGTTCATGTGAGTTTCGACGGCTCATACCATTTTGTCCATGTGAATATTAATATATTGACACACACTACGTCTGGGCTACCTGTTCATACTGTTGCGAGATTTGGTACCGGAGTGAAATTCTCGCCCCCGTACAAGAACCGGGGTGATCTCACGCCGAGGTGACTCGCTCCGATATGACATTTTGTGGTGGTATCATGTAAACAAATATAGAGCCATGAGAGGTAACCGTTGTGAACTCGCTCCTGGGGAAAAGTCGCCTCGGTGTCATGTAAACACCCCCTAAGACAAGAAAAATTGGACTCTTTCAAAGAAGTCAGAGGGAGGTGACATATTGCTGCATATTCACCGAAGTTAAACATATTCCATCAGCAGGATATTGTCTCCAGAAATTAAACGACAAGCAGAAATAGGGTTTCCTATAAGATCAATCCATTCTGTGCTTTACATTCACAATAAATTCATGAAATAAATGGGTGGCAAGGATGGTTGTGATGGGAGTTTGGAGATTTTATTTTGTATACCGGACACAGATGACGTAAAACAAAAGAACAACAGCCTTGAAACAATACCAAGCAGATTTTCCCTCAATAGAAAACAAAGAAGTCTTTTGCTTTACGTCATGTGTGTCTAGTACACGGAGTTTTGAGTGGAATTTTGGAATCCATTAATATCTGGACAAATTGTCAATTCATTTGGTCCGGGAAAGTGTACATTTGACTGTCAGTCTGGGAATTTCAAAAACTATTCCTCTGGCAACCATGTCTCAACAAGGTCATGTATGTTGAGAATTGAGAAACTGATGAACTTTAACATGACATGTATGTGGACATTTCACACAAATTCACTCTTGCATGGGCATTTGTTTCTTGTGCATGTACACAAATAACTGTGAACACTTTCATGAATGATTTGGTGCTCTTTAAAGGATAATTCAGTACTAATGAAGGTACTGCATATTCAATAATCATCATAAACACCATTCTCCTCAGCTGCATCCTTAATGACATTGTTACGTGTAATTTCTATTTCAGTGTAAGTGATCATGTTTGCACCTTACTGTTTTAAAAAACAATTAGCTGTCAAGTCTGATTATCTTGCATGCCAACTCTCCCGGATATGACAACAATCTCCTCCTGTACGGGTCAGCAAATCTTCAAGATAAAATCGAGTAATGTGCTTTTGTGTGCTTTAATTTGGAATTTATCCCATTTTCTCCCAAAATTTGAATCTTCTTTGAGTCAAAGTTCGGTTTCTGTGGTATTTTCGCACGTATTTCATCACTGACAAAGATTATTTCCTCATCACAATCATAAAAGCTAATTGTGATAGTTCTGTACCTCATGTAAGACTTCATATAATGTCCTAAGCCCATTAGGCACTGGATTGAATTGTGCTTATGGGAGGGGGGTTGATTGTTGATATTCGAGGGGGGTGGTGGGGGAATGCTAAAGAAAGAGTCTCCAGATTTTGGATTTTCTAGAGGTTGGCATCTCTAGATTATGTACTACAACAAGTGCAAACACTCTCATTGTTGTACGTAGTTCACTTAACTATAAATTATATTTTTCATCAATTACCAGCATTTACTTGTTATTCTCAACCCACTACTAATGACACACTTCACAAGTAATTATTATTACACTTATTATTAAAGATGGCATGGGTTAGGTGCATATTCTCTCTTTCGTGCAGTTGTTCACTATCACACCCATTTTCTTTTGGCTATAATTACATTTGTAGGATCGGTCAAATGGCGTTAACAAGGGACCTATGAAACATTGGCTACCCTTCCTTAACAACACCAGCCCCCCTTAAAGTCCCAGAAAATCATTTTTAACAACTGATCACTGGGTTCAAATTTACTACACCAAAACGAAATTAAGTACATTGTGGACATCTCACATTCCAATGTTAGAGCCAGTGTTGAAACCCACCCTCCCAAGCTACACAGTTTACTCCAATTCTCTCCCCCTTCCATCCCTGACATTTTATGGGCCTCCCCACCCCCCTCCCCCCCTAGCTTCGCGAGTTTCTGCGATTAACGTATTTCTAGTTTCTTAAACTAGGTGCCAAATTCTGAATAAATCCACCACGGCATGCCCTCTCTGACAAAATCTTACCTCGAGATCTTTGCTTTCCTTTGTGCTAAAAGTGAACTTAGCAACCGCTTTGGAACCATGAATTCTAGCAGTTGGTCCTTTTACTTTCTTCTTAATGACTCGTTTACCATTGATGGCCTCGATTTGGACTGTGTATGATTTAGAGTTTGGAAGGCCTTCAACCTCAACACGAAGCAATTCCACAGTGTAAAGAAGTGACATCATCGAGGAGTACTCATCAAGGTCTGGATTTATAACATTCCCAATGGGTGGCTCTCCACGAAACATGGCGCCATTTACCTCGAAAGGTATACCAGCAGCTTTCCAAATATCTCGCGTAGAGAGCTCTGATGAAAAAAGCTTCGATCCTGGTTGACGGTCATTTACTGAGTCGTTGTGGTTCAAGACCCTCCCAAGCAGTTTGAAGGTGTCATGTCTGTAAACCAGCGGATTCACTTGATGGGCATGCCAGATAAGGTCAAAGTCATAGCATGGTACAAGAAAAGCATCTTGATTCTTTTGCTTGAAGAGCAGATGGTGCTTATACCTCTTAACTGCTTCACGTAAGAATGTCTTATCCCCGTAATGTGGCAGGGAAACCTGATAATAAAACACTCTTTGTCTTTGGCAAGCGCTCTTGATGTCATATTGAATTCTAGACTCGAAATCCTGCACACATGTGACAGGGGCATTCAAATCTACTTCAAATGGTTCTCTGGGGTACTCTTGATTTTTAGCCCCTTTTCTCGAGCTTTTCCTACAAGAATTCTGTGGTCGACTAAAACAGAGACTATTTCATTGCAGTCCCTTTCATAACTGAGAGGTGAAAGCATGTGTACATGCCATACCCAAGCAACGTCTAGAGGCGCCGCTAGGTCCACAGAGGGGTGCTGAGCTAGCAAAGGAAGCCAAAACAGTTCATACCTAAAGATCATAGGAAAAAGGTGAATGAGGAATAAATTGGGGGCTGAACAAGATGAGTTGGAGAAGTCTTTTTTTAAAATATAGTTTCTGACATACGTTCTTTTCCTCAGTATCTGTCAACCTTTTGAAGGATCTGGTAAAAGGTTAATGTGAGTTCGCAAAATGCTAGCAGTTCACACTTTTGGAGGCAAAAAAGTGTAAAGAGTATCTTAAAAAAACAATAATATGTTTAACTATAACAGTGTTGGTCCCCTTGCACAAAAAATCGTTTATTTTCTAGACTTTTTCGGATATTTTCAGTACCGATGGTGACCCCTTTGAATGATATCTCAGTTGCTCAACAGCGCAATTTCTCACAATACATTTATTAATCATCTTGTAGAGCCGACAGGCTACCTATTAAGCTCACAAAATATTCTAACGAAACACAATACAAACCCAATCTCAAGGTTGGGGTAGGCATGGACTGGTTGCAATCACTTGGTTTGCATTTATCGGTCTAGATTGGATTCGAAGGACAGACTCATACCTCCTGACAGCATTTTCAACATGTGGGCCGGTGTAAAGGCATGGGTTGTCATCAACAAACTTCAAGAACTGTCGCTGAGCGAGGGCAGCTTCCACTAGATCGATACTTATCATGCTTTCCATTTCACGGAGGTTTGGTGATTTTGCTTGGGCCATATTCCCGTAACGTAAAAGGTGTCTGGTAAATCGAAAAAACCCCCTGATATTTCTTTTATTATTATATAGTTGAAAAAGGGAAGGGGTGTTTCGTATAAACTAGGAAAGAAAATGTTTATATTTTCAAAAATTTCCTTGAAGTTTATTGAAAGGAAAAGATATTCCCTATAAAATTGGATAAATATGAAGGCGGATTGCGAGATAGGCAGCCACAATAGGAAAAATATCCACCAAAATCCGAGTTCACCTTTTCCCTAAAAGGTAGAAAATCTTTTTCTGCAAGCAAATATCATAATTCTTATCATTATTGTAAAATACTGAATACAAATAAAATAGATGGGATATATCATTTATAACACTGCGTTATAGTGCTTGTCTTATCTAATCCTATGGAGTCGCTATGGTCAGCAAAACATAGCCTCAGCTGAGCTTACAAAAAGATGGCTTATATAAACCTGTTTACGTCAAGAGTTTACATGAGTTTGCTCTAGCCTTCAAACCTCCCATTTGAATTTCTGTTTACGAGGCCTACAATGGAGGCCAAAATTCTTAGGACAATTAACACTATCTGCCTAAATTTTCCCCCTTTCCCCTCGCCCCCCAGTTTGTGCACCCCTGTACACTTTACCCTGCCCTAAAAGTGTTTATTTATCCCAACAATATTTGGAGGGGGGAGGGGAGGGCCATTCGCGGTATCCAAGTGGTTAGAGAAGTGCATATAATTATATTATGCTACATCTGAATAGTTGATAAGTTAAGGATGTGGAAGGAAAGTTTTCCATAATCGTTCCAAGGATTTTTGTCCTCCATTGTAGTTCACCTTATGTCAACTGAGGTGAAAGTACTAAATTTGTGTTTGTTTCTTCCACGTTGTAATCAGAGAATCTTAACGTGCGTCGCTGTAAATGCTATAATTTTCGGTACAGACGACTTTGTATTGATACATGGATACGTGTACATACAAGTCGTGAAGAGGCAACACAAAATTCGCTTTGACAAAGAGCTGTCGCCTCCCCCCGATCAGATTTCAGCTCTTTAGAATCCTCTGTCAATGGGGAATCAAACTTATAAACATAACGCTGAAACAAATCCCTTATCGTCGGCGAATTTTAATTCATATGGTAAAATAATGTTTTTCGTAGCTATAGTCATCCTCCACTACCCCAGTTATCGAAGCACAACATTTCCTAAATCTGCTTAAATCACTAACTCTACCTTACCTTTCGTAGTTCTCTGTTTCTTGAAATGGAAAATTCTGTGACTAACGAAAAATAAGCCAATTTAATTAACCCTTACCGATTTCAATGTTGTCCCTGAGGGTATAGTCACATCTGTCTACTTCCTTTTCAGCTAACAGTCATCTGATCTACAGCATGGCGACGTGATGGCTGAGTTCGCTCAAACAAAAGGTTGTTGTTTTCCCATTTGAAGAATCCTTTGTCTGCCGACACAGGCAGCCCAAGCTCATTACACGAAGGCGGACGTGACTCTTGGTTGCGAGCGATGTTGTGTTACAAACGGTTAAAAAGGCCTTTGGCTTGTATGGGATGTAAACGGTTTTTCTTAACAGAGCGCAAAAATGTTATGTTTTTAAATAAAATCGACGTACAGAATTGCCTTGTTGAATTCTTTGTTGTTTGCCCGCGTCTCAGGCCGTTTTGAAGCGTTTTCGGCGAGTTAGCGCTACTGCCGTCAGGGTGCCGTCTCTAATCTTAGTGCAAATAAAGTAGCACTGTTTTAGCATATATAACAGAGGCATTCCTTGCCTACTACATGACAGATAGGAAAACAACTGTTCATAGATCAGAACACCTTAGAGTTGATAAATTTGTCAGTTTTATTCCAATGTTAGTATTTATATTTGAACTCTAATAACTCTTCCACTACTTTTCCAGTTTGCAAAAAGGAATGAAAAAGTAATGCCCCCCCCCTGTATGTATTAAATTTTACATCCAACCCCCCTCTCTCTTGTTGTCATTTTCTCCTATGCCCTCCCCTCTAATTTTCTAACCCCCCAACTCCAGGTAATTATTGCACAGTCCCTAATAAGAGAACATAATAAGTGAGTGGCATGTGCGGACCAAGGAAATAAATTGCCGAATGAGGCAGGCGTTTATAACTGTAAATAAAATCTGTAACAGGCTCATCTGCCAATCGCCACTGGAGGATGTTTACCTTGACTTCAAGTAAAAGGCGTTCACTTGCTAAACCAGCCGGCCTTTAGATTTTTTTTGAGAAAGGTGCATTCGCTCAGGAAAATAAAGAAATCCCAGAGAGATCCTGAGATCATAACGCGTGAGCCGAAATGATCTCACCGCCGAACGCCAGCCATACACGGTCTGCGACAGAATGTTTTGAGCAACATCAAAATGAATATCTACATCATTTCCTGTACAGTCGAACCTCTCCATACGGACACCTCTCCGAGAATACGGACACCTCTCCAATACAGACACCTCCCCAATACGGACACCTTTCCAATACGAACAGTTTCCTATGTACCGACAAAATTCTCATACATTTCCTCCAAAAAAACCTCGATAATACGCACCCCCTCTAATACGAATAACGAACACAAAATCTCGGCCCTTGAGGGCAAATTCATATAAACTTTAAACACCTTTATTACGGACACTCCGGGGACCAGGCGTCGATAATTTGCGCTATGTACCACTTCCTGTCGGCGGAAGAGTACAACTGACACAACTGGATGATCAGCGAGCCCCGGGGGGAGCAAAGCAAGATGCCCTTTTATTATTAAGTTTTATTTTTTGTAGGATCAGTTTGATCTATATAAGCAGCGGCCTATTTGTGCAATTACCACCAGTGATAGGGTCTCAGTCCCCGTGACGTAGTGCTCCTACATGTTTTGATATCCTTAAACAGGGTCCCTTTAAAGTCAGCATTCGTCAAATAACAGGGAGCCAGGGTCAAGGCTCCCTTAGAAGCAATGCTTAAAACGGAACTATCCACAAAAAGGAAAAGATCTATTGAAAGCGTGCACAGACGATACAGGGCTGTCGGTTGTACTTTAAATAGGAAGTCAGTAATCGTTTGGTTTTGCGCCTTAGAAAGGTTATCTACTGACACTGTTTCAGAAAAAAGGTCAGAATTTTAAGACCTTTTCTGATAAAAACCTTTCCTAAACTGATTAGCCTGCGAGCAAGCTCTCCGAGGCTCTCTGGCGGCGAGGCAGGAAAAGGAAGAAGAACTTGCAAATACCATATTTCCTCAAATAATAGCCGTCCCTCGATTAATCGCCCTTCTCTGGTGGAAATATTTAGAATAATCGCCTCCTTCGAATAATCGCCCCCCCCCCCACCCCACCCCTCTCGCCATCTTCTCTTTCTTTTATCCACTCTCTGTCACGTTGAAGAGGGTCTCAATGGGGTGGTGGCATTTACGGTTATCGGCTAAAATTTTGGCTCTTTTACGGCTATCGGTTAATTTTTTTCAGTTACGGTTAACAAAAAAGTTAAATATTAACTTCTTTTGTTTCAAAAAGTTAAATATTAATTAGCCCGTATTTTTTGTATCTTTAAAGCAAAATAGAGGCCTTAGGATCATGTCAGGATGAAATAAGTTATTCTTTTGAAAAATTTTAACATTTGATAGATCATACTTTTTATAAAGTATTCCACTTCTAATATTATTTTACAGATAGAAATGTCAACAGTCAA